CACTACAGGAAACCATTATTTATTGGTTTTAATGGTTAAAAGTTGATGGTTTGTAATGTTTGTAATGGTATTTGTAGTGGAAATTATTAGAATTTCTGTGATGGTTTCTATCGTTTTTGTCAGCAGGGTCACCATGGGTTTTGTGATATTATCTGCCATAAATGTGATACATTGATTGTTGTAATACTGTGAGATAGTAGCGGCTGTTTGTAGTTGTGGTGGGCCTATTTGGGAGAAAATCCAGGGCCGTTTTTTTACTCCCGGTCCGTCCCTGGGTGCTGCTATGCAGTTGCTCAAGGGCACACACACAAAAAGAGGCAATTCAGACAGAAATAAAATGCACTGAAATTTAAATGCAAACCGAAAAAAAAACTGCACTTCACAATCGCGTATTGAACAGTGGATGTCGTACCTAACGATTCAATATTATATTGAGAATTGTGGCGTCCCTACTTGACACCATGTGATGATGTGTATGTGTGATGGAGTCTCTGGGCTCATTTTATACTCTCCTTCATACCATGCCAATCTGCAGCTCTGAACCTATTACTGTTCATGTGTCTCTGATTATGGCGTTTGCAACACTAAATTGATTCCCAGTTGGGTTTGATTCCCAGGAGACACTCGAGCTGATAGGATGTATAGCATGAATGCACCGTAAGTCACTTTTAGATCTACTAAATTAATACGCTTTATCAAACACGAGAGTGATGAAAGAGTGTTTTTGTTAGTCTTTTAGTATTGAATATTTCATTGATATTTCACATTTATTTACCTGTTCTTATTCAAGCTCCAGCGATACTGACTTGAAGAGAGTCTCTATAGTGGGCAGAAGTATTTTCATACTCTGGGTTTTGAAATATTCATCAGCGAAGCCCCCGACTTCAGCACTCACAGGCCTGTTATTATCCTCAGATTGTGAAATATCAGTGCATGAGAGTAAATGCTGCTAATGAAGTGCTTTGGAGACAATTGTGGATGACTGGACAATAGAGCTCTGTTGTGTGAATGTAGGTCACTGTGTGTGTGTGTGTTCTCTTTGATGCTCGTACAGAAATGCATTTTATTTGAAAGAAAATGTGAGTAGTGCATACAGGACTTACTGCCATGATGCTTTGATGTTGTGGGTGGTTGTCATGGTGTTGCTATGTGGTTGCTTGTTGCTAATGTGTTGTGGGTGGTTGTTAGGGTGTTGCTGTGTGGTTGTTAATGTGTTGTGGGTGGTTGCCAGGGTGTTGGTATGTAGTTGATTGTTGCTGATGTGCTGTGAGTGGTTACCAGGGTGTTGCTATGTGGTTGCTAATGTGTTGTGGGTGGTTGCCAGGGTGTTTCTATGCAGTTGCTAATGTATTGTGGGTGGTTGCCAGGGTGTTGCTATGTGGTTGCTAATGTGTTGTATGTGGTTGCCAGGGTGCTGCTATGTGGTTGTTTGTTGCTAATGTGTTGTGAGTGGTTGGCAGGGTGTTTAAATGCCGTTGCTAATGTGTTGTGGGTGGTTGCCGGGTTTCGTTATGCAGTTGGTGGTTGTTAGGGTCTTGCTATGTGGTTGCTACAGTGTTGTGGGTGGTTGCCAGGTGGTTGCTATGCGGTTGCTAATACATTATGGGTGGTTGCCAGGGTGTTGCTATACAGTTGCTAATGCATTGTGGGTGGTTGCCAGGGTGTTTCTATGCAGTTGCTAATTTGTTGTGGGTGGTTGCCAGGGTGTTTCTATGCAGTTGCTAATGCATTGTGGGTGTTTGCCAGGGTGTTGCTATGCGGTTGCCAATGTGTTGTGGGTATTCCTAGGTGGTTGCTAGGGTGTTCTGGGTGGTTGATGAGGTCCACATGAATGAGTACATAATGATGTTAAAAAAAAAACATGTAGAGAGAAAATAAAGTTAATTTTGATGCCATTTGATTATGGTGTGTGTGTGTGATGGAGACTCTGGGCTGGTTTGGACTTGGTTCAGAATGGTCTCTCATTTAGTCTGAGCTCATGAGAGGAAATCACTGCAGCTGTAAACGTGCTCACAGACCAACCACAAACTCCATCTCCTCAGACATTAGAGCAACAACAACTCATTATATTTCACAAAGACTGAGAGAGAAGAGGAGAAATGATGTGGCAGATGTTTAAATGGGTAGTTCACCCAAAAGCTTTCAAAATTCATAAAATCTAATAAAATAAAGGTTCATACTTCACTGATCAGTCATTGGTCTTTCATAGCTCATATGAATGGAGATCTCCGTTATATTTCATTCACATTTGTTCATGTTTAAAGGAGACAAGTGAGATAACTGGGCTCTTTTTCTCAGGAGAAACATCTCCGTCAGGAGAATTCAGCAACGTTTAATCTCATTCTTGCCTAGGAGCAATAGTTGAGATATTAAAGATATTTTTTTACAAATATTGTTAATTCTATGCAAAATTGCTTTTGTTCCTCTAGTGCAAATCGCTTTGGATAGAAGTGTCTGCTAAATGCATAAATTGAATGTAATTCCTCATGTTCTAAACCAGTATGACATTATTTGTTTTGTGTAACACAACAGGAGATGTTTAGCAGGTTTTTATTCTTTGTGTTTGTTGTGTATATTCTGCTTGTGTCGTATCATTTATTTGTCATCATATGAGTTCAGAGCATCTCTCGTGTCTCTTTAGGGGAAGCACTCTGTTATTTTTGGCGTGTGGTTGTCAGTTTAACGGGGCACAAGCACAGTTGCCCGGCCACAGAGCTCTGCTCCACGCCACAGCTCTTCAGAGCGCTCTCTGAGCCATATGTGCTACAGATGGGTAAGTCTCTAGTGCTGCCGCGGGCCGGTCCGAGGTCATTAATCAGGGCTCTAAGTGCTGCCGGACCACAGCAGAGAGGAATAATGGGCCATAATCAGACGTCATCAGAACATCAGGATGATTTACCTGGATAATCTCCTAGATAGACACTAAAAATGGCTGCATTGCACTCTGGATATTAATTAATTTCTCCTGAAGCATGCCTCTAATTACGACATACTACTTGTAAACTGCTTTTAAAGGAGAAATGTGTATTTTCCCCTTATTTGACTGAAGGAGGGACCTGAGTTATATCGTAGAAATTCAGTAATTGACTCTTAATTTGCTGGGCTAGTACACAACCACCTGGCACACTTTAGCAACCACCTAGCAACACCCTGGCAACCACCTAACAACACCCTTGGAACCACCTTAAACATCCTAGCAACACCCTAGCAACCACCTAGCACATTATATCAACCACATAGTAACACCCAGGCAACCACCTAACAACACCCTTGGAACTGCCTTGAACATCCTAGCAACACCTTAGCAACCACCTATCACATTATATCAGCCATATAGCAACACCCTGGCAACCACCTAGTATGCCCAAGCAACCTCCTAGCAGCATTCTTTGACCACCAAGTTCATCCTTAAAACTACCTAGTACACATTTGTAACCAGCTAGCCTAGCACACCCTAGCAACTTCATGGCATCAGCTTGGTATTCACTCACATTTTCAGAAAATGTATAAATCTGATTATTTCTATAATTCTGTAATTTTGATAGTGTAAAATTTGATGTAGAATTAAACACAGCTACTTTAATGCTGGTTTGGGCCAAACCTAGCAAACCTTTGCAACCACCTAACGACACCCTTGCAACCACCTAGCAACACACTTTCAACCACCTAACACACCCTAGAAACCACATAGCAACACACTGGCAACTACTTAGCAACACCCCAGCAACCATCTAGCACACCTTAGCAACTACACAGCAACACCCTGGCATTCACTTAGCAACACCCTATCAACCACCTAGCAACTACACAGCAACAGTCCAGCAACCACTTAGCAACAACACAGAAACATCACAGAAACAACTTAGCAACCACTTAGCAACTACACAGAAACATCCCAGCAACCACCTAGCACACCTTAGCAACTACACAGCAACACCATGACATCCACTTAGCAACACCCTAGCAACCACCTAGCAACTACACAGAAACATCCCAGCAACCACCTAGCAACACCCTAGCAACTTCATAGCAACACCTTGGTAGTCACTCACATTTTCAGAAAATGTACAAATCTGGTTATGTCTGTATTTCTGTAATTTTGATGCCATAAAATTTGCTGCAGAATTGCACACTGCTGCTTTAACGCTGGTTTGAGCCAAATGTAAATCTAATAGCTGACTACAAAACTGACAATTAAAGTTGAAGAACAGTCTGCTGTGGAAGAGTTTAATCTATGTTTAAAGACACAAACATCAGTCTCCACACACTCAAGCACGGAATGAAAACTGACAGTCATTAAGTCTGGGAACTTGTCACCTAAACTGAGGTCCCCATGGGTACCGAAGCTTATAAATCAGTTTTTTTGAGAAAGTAAAAATGCATAAAGTTTTCTGTGAGGGGTAGGGTTGGTGTAGGGCGATAGAAAATACAGTTTGTACAGTATAAAAACCATTACGCCTATGGAGAATCCCTACAAGGATAGCTAACCAGACGTGTGTGTGTGTGAGAGGGATTACGGACTTGAGCAGTCACTGTCTCTCTCTCTGAGCCTCTAATCATTTTTACTGTGAAAGATTTGAGCGCTCACTGAGCCACTTACTATTCCACAGCCAGTGTTTGCATGCATGAATCGTTCGCGTCCCTCAATGTTTCCCTCGAAAATGTTGTAGCAATGCAGGAACAAAAGCTTCTACAGTGTATTAATAATGCAAAGCTGAATATGAATGAGTCCGAATAACCTCAGTCTTGTGTTTGCCGGTGCTCAGTATCACATTGATGGATTCAATTTTAATTAAACAGCCACTCAAATAGAATTTATTTTGCACTTCGAAAATGTGCATCGTTTATTATTTGAATAGATGCAAAAACATACATTTCATAAAGAAAAAAAAAGCCTTTTTAATGATAACTGAACACAATGCTCATGTTCTTGACTGTCCGTGTGTTAAACTGGCTCATATTCAAGTGTGACTCAGTGCCGTCTCACCCTCGTTTCGCAGCGAGCTCATCCTGTCCAACATCGATGCCGGCGTTTCCGGAAATTGGCAGTGTCACGTGACCAGTTCCCGTGGCAACAGCTCAATCGGCATGGAGATCGTGGTGCTGGAGACGACGGCGCTGTACTGCGCGGCCGAGAGGGTCAGTAGCAACAAGGGCGACTTCAGGTGTGTCCGCGGCTACAGACATCACACACAGACACAGAGCGCCAGCTTAAAGGGACCGTTCACCCAAACTTGAAAATCCTGTCATCATTTACTCACCCTCATGTCGTTCCAAACCTGTATGAGTTTCTTTCTTCTGTTAAACACAAAATAAGCTATTTTGAAGAATGCTGGGATCCCAACAGTTGTATTATGGAAGTTAATGGCTACCGTCAATGTTTATAATAATTACTTTTTTTTTTTTTCTCTCCGTGTGCAACAGAAGAATGAAACTCATTCAGGTTTGGAGTGAACTATGCCTGTAAAAACCACATCACAGATTGTGTAATTACTTTTTTTTTTTTTTCTCTCCGTGTGCAACAGAAGAATGAAACTCATTCAGGTTTGGAGTGAACTATGCCTGTAAAAACCACATCACAGATTGTGTAATTGTGATGCTTCAGTGCCTCCTTTTTATTTTAATGTCAGTTCTCTGATTCATCTGCTTTTATAGCTCCATGTTCATTCTGTGTTTATGCAGCACACATCTGTAATGGGCTGGAAAATGAGCCTGTTGTTAGCAGAGGAATTCATGTAATTTGTGCATTACTGACAACAACAAACGGACACTGTTCATGTTCACAAACTCATGTGAGAAACTCGTCAAAAGACACTGCCATTCAACAGTTTGGGGTCAGAAATTAATATTTTTATTCAGCAAAGATGCATTAAATTGATCAGAAGTGACAGTAAAGACATTGATAATGTTACAGAAGATTTATATTTCAAATAAATGCTGTTCTTCTGAACTTTCTATTCATCTGTGAATCCTGAAAAATAAAATGTATCACAGTTTCCACAAAAATATTGTGCAGCACAACTGTGTTCAACATTGATAATAATCAGAAATGTTTCTTGAGAAATTTCAGCTTTGATCACAGCAATAAATTACAATTTAACACATATTCACATAGAAAACAGCTGTGTGTATATATATATATATATATATATATATATTATGGTTTTCAATCCTCAATTTCTAATTGTTATCATCAAAGACAGGAATAAATTTCAGCTTAAATTATTATAATTTTAAATGGAAATTATTATTGAATTATATTTCAAAATTTTTACTGTGTTTTTGACCAAATAAATGCTTCCTTGTTGAGCATATGAGACTTCTTTCAAAAAACATTTAAAAATCTAAATTATTAAAAACTTTTGACAGGTAGTGTAAGTAAAAAAAAAAAGTGTATGTGTATATATATATATACATTTTTACAATTTATTATGTATTATTTATTATTATCATCAAAGACAGGAATAAATTTCACCTTAAATTATTATTATTTCAAATAGAAATTATTATTAAATTAGAAAACAGTCATTTTAAATTGTAATAACACTTCACAATAGTACTGTTTTTACTGTATTATACTGAAGAACCCCAAACTTTTGAGTGGTCATGTAAAACATCTGAATGTTATCGTGTTATCTCGCAAAATATTACAGCCAGTGTCATTTATAGTAAAGAAAGATGCTCAAGCATGCGTTCCAAACACAACATTTGGCAAAGAACTATAAATTCTATAAATTAATATATATAAATGTACTTTATAAAACAGATAGTTCCGGTCCTTGATTCTGATTGGCTGAGCCGCGTTCAAAGCTGTTGTAAATTGCTCTACAAACATACACCGCATCATATGACCCCTTTAATAAATGATCTACTAAAAAAATCACCAGCTGATTCAAACCACACTGAGACATCAAACATGACAAAGAAAGGTGACATTAGTGAAGAGAAAGCAGACTCTTGATCTGATGAATCACGTTCACAGGTGGCCGAAGACGTTGGCTGGTTTCATGGCCTTCCTGCCGTGTGCTGTGTCCAGCTCTAGCTCCGCCCCTCAGGAGAAGAGGGCGTGGTCCCGCTCTGACTCCACCTCTCAGGAGAAAAGGGCGTGGCGCAGGTGCGACCGCATGGGCCGCTGGGCGGAGCACGACTATAACCAGTGCTCATACGTGAGCCAGTTCACCCGCAGCCTGCATGAGCTCACACAGGTGCGTACCTTCATCATCATCATCATCATCATCATCATTCTCATCAGCAGCGAGTGTTTTATTGCAGTCTCAGACCGAATGGTGCTTTCAGAGGGGTGTTATCCTGCTGGAATCGCTTCTGGCGCGACACACCTGATTATACGGAGCAGGTGTTCAACTTGATTTACTCAATCACTTGTGTGTTAAAGGCTGAAAGCATCCGCAGCAAGGGATCCTTTGACGATTGATTGGCTCTCAATAATCTTCACAATTATTATTTTAAGTTGCTTTGGACCTGTGTAAATCTGTAGTAACAGGTGATCCGATCACACTAGTTCAGTGCTAAACACAGATTCAGACAGAATCTAAAGTGTTTTATTAGTCACATGAAAATAACATTTGTAGTTCAAACACTTAATGCATCCTGACGACATACAATATTCGAGCACACAATATTAGAAGCCAAAACATGCATTTCAACTAGTTATTTTTAGAAAGAAATAACCATCTGAAAAATTTGGAAAAGCGAATATAGAGTAGCGTTTAAAAATTTGGGACTGATAAGATTTTTAAGTGATAAGAAGGGGTTGATATGTTTTGAAAGAAGTCTCTTCTGCTCTCTATTTGTTTTCTATTTAAAAATAATTTAAAATGTAATTTATTTCTGTGATTGATGATGAAATTTGAAAATTAAGGACATTCATATATTTTAACTTGGACTTCTTGTCAAACATTTGTAGCTAATAATTGTTCTGAATAATATTTCTGAAAGAAGTCTCATCAAGGCTGCATTTATTTGATCAAAAATACAGTAAAAATTGTGAAATATTATTACAATTTAAAACGGCTGTTTTCTATGTGAATATCTGTTAAACTGTAATTTATTTCTGTGATCAAAGCTGTATTTTCAGCATCATTCCTCCAGTCTTCAGTGTCACATGATCTTCAGAAATCAGTATAATATGTTGTGCTGCCCAATATTTTTGAGGAAACTGTGATACATTTTGTTTTTCAGGATTCACAGATGAATAGAAAGTTCAAAAGAACAGCATTTATTTGAAATAGAAATCCTTTGTGACATTATAAATGTCTTTACTGACACTTTTGATCAATTTAATGCATCGTTTTTATATAAAAGTATAAATTTCTTTTAAAAGCATTCTTACTGACACCAAGCTTTTGAGCAGCAGTCCTGATGAACATGCAGAGACACACGGATGTCACTAAATATGCTGAGATGACTATAATCTTCTGGTTCTCTCTCAGATGTCGGTGAACGTCTCCAGCGCTCTGGCGTTGGCGCAGCAGCTCTCGTCTCTCACCAGCAGGGCGGCGCTGTTTGGAGACATGATGGATGTGATATTTGTCACTCATCTGGTAGAAAGACTCACACGCCTGGTGGATCATGTGAGAGAGGTGAGAATCACATCCCATCACGCCTCAGTCGGACTATTTCTGGGAAATGTGTCAAAATGAAGTGAGTTTATGCTTAAAACAAGAAAAAATATCTGCCAAAAATTATTATAGTTAACCAAATGGAGAAAAAAGTCATTACTTGAATTACTATCTATCTATCTATCTATCTATCTATCTATCTATCTATCATCAACTAAAATGAAAATTAATAAAAACTATAAAGAACTATTTAAAAAAAATGCTTAAAATGAGAAGTATCTGCCAAAAATATCATCATAAGCAACTTAAACTTATTTTATTTCAGCATTTCTCATTTTCATTTAGTTTAACCTGATGTACTAAAATAGAATTAAAATGGAAATAAAAATTAATAAAACTATAAAGACATCAAAAAAATTCTTAAAATTAGAAAAAATATCTGTCAAAATATCCTGTTATAAGCAGGGTTCTTATAGTAAACCAACTAAAATAAAATAAATAGAAAAAATAGAAAAACAAACTTATTATTATTAATTTTCATTTAGTTTAACTTAAAAAAATTATTTAAACTATTTTATTTCAGCATTTCTCATTTAGTTAGGTTGGCTTGAGAAAAATGCTAATCATGCTAGAAATATGCCATCAACATGCTAATCATGCTAGAAACATGTTAATCACATTAGTAACAACATGTTAATCATGCTAGAAACATAATTAGCAACATGCTAGCTACATGATAATCATGCTAGCAACACTTTAATCACTTTAGAATCATGCTAGCAACATGCTAATAATGCTAAGAACACGCTGGTAAAATGCTAATCATGCTAGAAATATGCCATCAACATGCTAATCATGCTAGAAACATGTTAATCACATTAGAAACATGCTAACAACATGTTAATCATGTTAGTAAAATGATAATCATGATAAAAACATTCTAGCAAACATGCTAATCATGCTAAAAACTGGTTAACATCATGCTAGAAACATGCTAGCAACACGTTAATCACTTTAGAAACATGCTAGCAACATGTTAATCATGCTAAGAACACACTAGTAACATGTTAATCATGCTAAAAACATGCTAGCAACATGTTAAACATGCTAGAAACATGCTGTCAACATCCATCTAATCGATCTACAGGTGCATCTCAATAAATTAGAATGTCGTGGAAAAGTTCATTTATTTCAGTAATTCAACTCAAATTGTGAAACTCGTGTATTAAATAAATTCAGTGCACACAGACTGAAGTAGTTTAAGTCTTTGGTTCTTTTAATTGTGATGATTTTGGCTCACATTTAACAAAAACCCACCAATTCACAATCTCAACAAATTAGAATATGGTGACAGGCCAATCAGCTAATCAACTCAAAATCAAACTTCAAGCTTTTACAACTGCTTTATACTTTCAGCCTAGGCTTTCTCAAGCCAACCTAGAGTTTGTCTTGACGAACTTTGTCTAGTTTAACTTGACGTACTAAAACAACTAGAACTAAAACAGAAATAAAAATGAATAAAAACCAAGTAGATTTAAAAAAGTTATAAAATGACAAAATAGCTAAAACTTTAAAATTAAACTGAAAATATAAAATAAAAACTAATTCAAAATATTACTAAAATGTTTAATAGTATTTCAGTGGTACTGAAGTAACACTGGTTTTAAGCACTCACTAGATCTGGATAATTTTCATTTAATTGAAATTCACTTCATCTTGATTTAAGAATGTTTCAATTTTTGTGCTGGAAAGCAAGACAAAGACCCTGAGGAAGAGCGTTATATGATCAGTGTGAAGTGAAGTCCGCTCACATGTAGACTGCAGTCGTATATCTCACGCTCTGATGTGTGACTCTGTCTCTTCCTCTGCTACTATGCAATTTAGATGCAATTTGAGTCACTTGACGCTGTTATCAGCTATTTTCAGCTTTAAGTGTTACGTACACATGTTCACTCAACACGTTTAGCATTTTAATAACACCACCTCAAGAGCTCTAGGAGGCTGTTTATGTGTGAATGAGGAGAAAACACACTCACTCGCTTTGGAGAAATTTGTATTAATTACATAACTTTTGCTGCCATATGTGACATACACTACATGCTAAGTATGCAAACATTTGCATTCATTAGGAAGAGGCTCTTAATTCACGTTTAACTGACAGCATTCAAGGTTTACATTTTATCAGTACATGTTTTCATGAACCCTTTGGAAAGCAGCAGTGCAAATGAGTTAATTTATAATAAACAAAATATACAATATATATAAAAATCCAACATTATTAAACCATTATAAAAGTTTTGATATAGGCTATTCCATCCACATTTGCATTGCAAGTAAGATTGGAAATGTATTTTCTTGTCCCTGAAATACATTTTGAAATATATTAATGTTGAATTTTAAATAAAAAAATATATTTAATTGAGCTTCACTATATTCACTATATTTCTGTCACGGTGTGCCTACTGTCAAGGAGCGAGGAGATGAAGGAGATTCCAGAATTATCACAGACTTTATTTACAACATAGAAAACCACACATAGGACACAGGGATCAACGTTCATACAACAAGTAGACCCGACCAAACCAAACTGAACAGACTGGGGCTTATAAACACGGGGGAATGAGGATAATTAACTAAACACAGCTGGGAACAAATGAAGAACTAATCGGGGAACATAATGGGAACAGAAAAAGGAAGAACCAAATATGGGCATAAGGAACACATGGAAATACCAGGACATGGAGTACAAGGAACAAAGAAACACAAAACACGGAACAGAGTCTGACATTACTCCCCCCTCCCGGAAGCTCTGGAAGCCATGGCGGAGCAGTCAGCTCGGGGAGCCATGGCAGATCAGGCAGACCAGGAATCCATGGGGGGGCAGGCAGACTAGGAGGCCATGGTGGAGCAGGCAGTTCAGGAGGCCATGGCGGAGCAGACAGCTCGGGGAGCCATGGCGGAACAGGGAGCGCGGGGAGCA